ACCCCTCACCAACCCCAAATCCCCCCATGCCGCCTGCTTTCATTGGGGCTGCCAGAAAAAACGAGCGCCACTACCAGGCGCTTTACACAACCACCGCGCACCAAGAGCGAAGACCTCCCGCTCCCGACTCAGCGCGCTCAGCTCCGACTCAGCGCGCGCCTTCAGCGAGGTCAGCTCCTGGCGCATCTGCGCCAAACTCAGCAGCACCTCCTCGGAGCCCGAGGAGAGGCCTCGCAGCGCGAGCGCGCGGGATTGAGCAGCGCGCGCTGCGCCCGCTGCGTCGTTTCGGTTTGTGCAGTGAGAACACGTGGCTTTTTCCCACGTCAAGTAGACAAGTAGACAAGTCAGAAAAGACCCGGGTCATCCTTTGAAAAAGAGGAAAACGACAAAAGCAACGAGACAATTGTGGGTCATCTCTGTGCTGACCGATGATAAAATTCAGACCGTGATTGACCAAAACCAAAGCTGGGCAATCCCGAGCTTTGTTGCAAGTCTTTGTGCTCCCTCCCGGAAGATTTGATCGGCACTTGGCGGCTCGCTGGGCAGACTCAGGCTCACCAGAAGCTGCGGTGAGATCCTGCAAGAGGATGAGAGGACCAGCCTCCTTTGCTTCTCAAAAAATGGGGACCCCTCCAGGTGCTTGGCTGCCTTTCGTTTCCCTTTTCTATTCCAACCAAAAGGCTTCGGCCCACCAGTGTGAGACCATGGATACCAAATGGGTCGAAATAGGGTGACCCCAAAATGGGTTGCCCTGGTTAATGGAAACATGGACTAAAACCTGGTTGCTCCCCTGGTTTGATTTTGACCAAAGGACCAGACCTTGGGTCTTGGGCTTCCATGGCTTCCATCGATCTCTGCCCGTCCTCACCAAGTTCTCCACAGCCCGAGATCCCGTCAAGGACGCCGAGCCAGTGAGCAGCCGCCCCCGCGTGTCCTGCGAGCCTGCCAGCGAGCGGCGGAACCGCGCCGGTTCCCATCCACAAGCAGAAACGTGCGGCTTCCCGCGGTCAAGACTTGGCTGTGGGTCAAAACTCTTTTCCCCTAGTGAACATCAAAATAGGTGGCAAATGAATGTTCATCCACCCCAAAATGGAGCCATAGGTTATGCCCCATGGCCACTTGAGGATGCTGGCTGATTTTGATGGTCTTGTAAAGGCATGGCAGCTTCTAGCACAGCACAACGAAGTTCCTAACCAGCACCTGTTCGGCCCAACCAAAGCGGTGCATCTTCGCAGCGTTCGCTTCCCAAAGATCTGTCCTATCGCGAGCTCGCGGCAGCAAAGCATGGCTGAAGCCACCTGGCTTGACAAGGATACACTGAAATTGAACGAGTTAGAACGTTCCAGGGACGAATATTCCATGGGACTGTGTTCGTGGAATGTGGGACACTGAACTTGAAGTGCAAACCGGCGGCACGCGCAGTTCAAACTAGGCAGTGTCCGGAATGGTGTGCTGTGCCAAATGGCCTCCAAGTAGTCGCAAAAGCTGAGGACAGCGGTCCACACCTTGGACTCAAGCGGGAATGTGCCAAAGCGGCTTGTACAAATGGCTATGAGTTTTAATGGGGGGAACCCCCCATTAAAAAGTGGTTGGTGGACGACTTGATCCCCACCCAAGTGATGTCCACCAAAAAGTCCCTAATTAAAAGTCATACCCAGTGGACCGACCGAATTCTCCGTTCCGAGCGTTCCAGGTCTCCCGGTCTTGCAAGGCCCACACACATCGCGCGGCGAATAGCGGCGGCACCTGGGTCTCGGGAACCCCGAGAAGAGGCGCATTTTGTGGAAAAATGGCCAAACGACACCAAGCAATTGCAGTGACTGGGAGAAGAGCGCGATTGGGTGTTGTCCCCCAAAGATCATCAAGCGCCGTTCCCCTTCCCTTGAGGTTGCAGCAACAGCTTCTGCAGCTTGCAACGTCTTTGTCGCAGGCTCCTGTCTGGCAAGGCCATCCTCTGCAAATAGAGCCCATACTTCCCAGCTCCTCGACCGGTCTCGGCAGCCGACCTGGATCTCACAAGTCTCATGCGGGTTCTCTCGGGCAAGGCAAAGGACAAGAGACCCGGCACCCAGCCAGGCGCACACACAAGGTCAGGCCTCGAGCTGATCTCCAGCACTCTGCCTGCCGTGTCGACAAGTTTCTGGCTCAGTCCGGAGAAGGCTTTTGGGTCGTTGGAGGAATCCCACTTTTGCCAGGGCAAGTCGTATGCTGGCACTGTGCTGCTCGCTATCCCACATCTGCGACATGAGTGACTTGGGTACGCAATGTTTGTTGTCCTTACGCCAAAACGGCTTCAGCTCCGAGCCCTTGATCCATTCCGTTTGGCCGTGCAATGCAGCTTGGCCTTGCAAACAAAGAGGAAAAGCGTTGGGACTGACACGAAAGCGGACGCACGTCGTCCGAACGCCGGACGTCACCTCTGGTCACTCTCTAAGGGCATGCCAACATCAGCCATGCCTCAAAGTAGTCCCTCAGCACAGCTGCAGGCCAGTAGAAGCACCTCAAGGAGAGCGGATTTGTTTGTTCCCCGATCCCTCAAACCTCTACATTTGGCCACTACAAATCACCTCGGATGCTGCAACCAAGGCGCTCGAGCAGCCCGTGGGGCGGATTTGCATCAATTCCGTGAAACCGTCTTTCTGCAGCCAACTCGTGCGAGGGCGCATGAGGCGTCTCTCTTTGGCTTTCGCTGGACGCATCTTGCATTGGCTCCCAGACCTCAGCTAGGGGCTCGAAAAGTGCCACGCGGCTCATGTGCTGGCCTTTTCATACGAGAACACAGGCCCCTCTGGACTTCCTCCTTCAGATGACTAGCCGGCCCACAAAGTTCAAACTGAGTCCAAAGGGATTTGGTTGTGGGTCAACAATAGGTACCCCAAATGACCCCTGGCAAGTGGAAGCATGGACCAGAACTTGCGGTCCCCTGGTGTAATTTTGACCCATACCCATTTGGTGGAAGCAGTAGGCCCCCTTCAGTCTCCCGGCGGAAGCTGCTCCCCGCCTCGGTCAAAAAACGTGAGGAGTCTGTGGCATCCAGCCCGCAAAGTCCCAAAGTCAAGCGGATTCGAAAGCGGCACTACGACATATGATTTCTGAGGTGATTGCAATCCTGGATTGCAGGTAGCAATTGCAAAAGTGCAACAAATGCTCACGGGCAAATGGTCGAATGATCCTTGAAACCAATTGTAGTGGCCATACATGTCATGCCATTTACAAGAAACGGCCACGCTAAGGGTACGACGTGGAAGATGAGGGCAGCAAAGCCTTGCGCGAGAAATGAAGTGACACAATCCAAATGGCTGGGTAAACAGGCCTCCTGATTTGTTTTGGTTTTTTTCTCCGACGTGGGCAACTCATGCAGATCATTCTCACGCACTCATCCGCCAAGTACAAAGATCTGTCCTCGGAAAAAGCCCTGCGGCGCCGTCGGCCACTCTTCACACCTAACAGACTCACGATGCCCGTTGGTGCATACCCGCATTGCAAGGAAAACACTGGCCATCTTTAACCATCATCAGAAACCTTGATATTCTAAAGGCCGAAATCTTCCAACCAAGACCAACCTGCATTGCACCAATACTACCAAACGTGTCACAGCCATACATGTTCCATCAACCGAACGTCTGTTCCCAGGGAGAAGCTCCAAAGGAATTGTGCCTTGGTAGGGCAAATTCTCCCTGCCTGTGTCGCTGCAGTCTCTCTCTGAAGATGCCATGGCTCCAGCGCTCTCTGGAGCTGCAAGGACGTACGATGTGTTCGTGTTGCTCTGATTTTTCCCGGACAGCATGCTGACTCGTCCATTGTGAGGATGCTGTTGAGCTGGAGGTGAAAACAGGTCTGTGCTCCATTGGTTCCTCTTTTCAGTCCTTGGCCGCACTGCCGGCTGCGCTTCTCAGACACCGGCTCTCCTCTCCCCTTGGCAGTTCTGAAGCGCTGAAGTTTTGGCGCGCGAGCTTCTAACTCGCATTTCTTCAGGTCACTGCGTGGCCCCGCTTTGGACACCCAACGCATCGAGTGAAAACCAATGCAAGTGCCTTAGATGCAAAGCACTTGGCCTGTATCTTTGCCATCTCAACACATGATCGTACACGCTCGGCACGTGCATGTACATGAGATCAACACTGTTTAAAGTACAGCCAGTTGCAGGCTCGTCAAGGAGCCTGTGGAAAAATGAGATTGGCTCTCCTTATCTGAGTGGAAGCCACTGGATTGGTCAACCAAGCTGGCAACTCCTTGCTCCTTGACACCGAATTTGGGCTGTTGTCAGCCACCTTCATGCAACACGCTGACACCGTTGCAGTGAGCGCGTCCTGCATGGCACGCCTTACGTGCCATGCAGGGGTGAGAAATCCCAAAAGCCCAGAGGCAGCCGAGAGCCGATTTCGCGTCACTTTCGCGTCCGCGTCTGGGGCCTCAAGCTGAGTCCAACATATCGGCTTGATCAAAAGCTCCTATGAACATGGCGTCAACACCGGGAAGCCAAAAAAGATTGACTTTCCCATGGGAAAGGTCGTTTGGGGGCCAGGAATATTGAGCGAAGCCTTGCAAGCATCCGATTCAAGGGCTCCCCTTGCTTGCAACGCCGGCCCGCGTGCGACGCTCTTGATCATACGATCCCGCGGGCTTGCAGCCAATCTTGGCAGCCGACTTGTTGCAAAAAGTGCTCCATCACCAGTACTGCGAAGAAATGCACAAAAGATGCACTGCCAAATGATTGCAATAATTGAGTTGGGTGCTTCAGTGCACTGCCAGTTGTTGTGTCTACATTGCAAGTGTTGTCCTTGGTTTTGTGCATGGCCCAGGATTCTCTTATTCCCCAGATAGCTGAAAGCTATAGGGGTTCTAACTTCTAATACAGAGGAGAAAGTGATTTGCGAGATTGATGGCTGGGTGCTAGGAGGCGTGCAGTTGGGGTGTGCATTTTTGCAAGATTGATGGCAGGGTCCAGCGCATGCAGCTTGGGTGCTGGTGCTGGTGCTGTCTTGGGGTGCTGTTTGAGGCGTTGTTTGAGGTGCTGGCGAGATTGACGGCAGGGTGCTGGGGGTCAAGCCATTTGGGGTGCTGGTGTAGGTGCTGTTTTGGGACGCTGATGCGGGCGAATTTTTGCGCGATTGACAGCTGTATGAGTCTTGCAGATGTCCAATCATCCGCTTATTTTTTTGCTATCTGGGGTCTATGCCGGTGTAATGCAGTTGCCAAGGCTGCTTGATGTCTACGCTGTTTCTGGCATTGTTCCTGTCGTTGCTCTGGTGCACAGGGGCGTTGAATTGATGGTGTTTTTGCCATTGCTGTGGCTACGTACTGCACCAGCTACGGCTCTCAGGATGCTTGTTTGCGTAGCACAATTGTCACGTTTGCTCTGCTCAGTCGCAGAACAACAGCTAGCATCACAGCCGGCTTTGCTGCGGCTGTCACGGCAGTTGGGTTGTATGATTTGGCTGTCGCGCTTGCCGTATTAGCCATGATAGTGGCTGTCTCGGGTTGCCTGGAATGCAAGAAGACAAGTCATTGCAAGGTGAAAGGCTTGAACAATTGTGGAGCCAATGCCTCCTCCTCGTCTCCATCATGCACCATTGGAGGAGGCTGTGCTGTTGCCATCATTGCCTGGGGGCATGACTTGCTAAATCACAAAGAATGACGTGAGCCTCCCCCCCTCTGGGCTTCACAAAAGCATGAGTGCCAAGTTGAGACAAGTGGCGCTGGCTCGGGTCTCATGGTCGTCCTCTTCCCCGCCCAGATTGAGGTGCCTGCGGTGCATTGTGGCAGGCCATTCTTGAACAGAGGAGTCCACACCTGAAATACGACTGCCTCATAACTTGGTGAATACACGCGCCTGTGGACAATGACCTGCTGCTGCATGCTAAGCAGTCGCACCTGCACTGCTTTCCAGCAGGAATGTCATCAAAGACAGGCATTGCGAAAGAGATGCAGGCGGAACAGAAAGAAAAAAAAGAGAGAGCAAGAGGGAGAGACGGAGAAATGGACAGCGAGAGAGAGAGAGAGAGAGAAGAAAAAGAAAAAAAAAACACAGAGATTATTGTTGAAAAAAAAGAGAGCGAGAGATGGAGAGTAGGTGAGAGCAGGAGAAAGCCAAGGATGAGGCAAGGCGTGTGGGGAGCTTCAAACCAGCATCCAAGTTGCAGGGCAGCTTCAACGGATGCCGCCTCCCACGGAACTGCCGGGAAGAGCGTCGAGATCAGTATCCTGGTTGAAGGGGAATGCAGGGGCATGCCCAGTTCTTGAAGTGATGAGATGGGTTGTGGCTGTTGAATTGATCTGCTTGTGCGTGTCCATCAAACAAGTCCGCACATTCCCTCCTGAAGCCGATCATGGCGTGCTCCACTACCATGAACAGCATGATCTTGTGGTAGTGGCTCCTGGACTGACGGCCACAAGCACCGCTCATGAGCTGCTGGAAGGCCAGTATGAATGCTGGGTGAAGCCACTTTGCTTCTCAAACAGGACTCCCTGACAACGACTCGTGCGCTTGCATCACCCGCAACGCAAGCAGTCCAGGTCTCAAAGACATTCGATGAAAACACAATGACCGCCGTGTTGGTTGCCATTGCGAGCCTTGGCCACCGCCGCGGGGCATGTCTTCGCACTTTCCATGGAGTTCAAAAAACATGGCAAGACAGCGACCGACGGCTCCGCACCAGACTCCGGATCGGGTGTTGTCACTGGGCAGCCAGCATGCCAAAGACATCGAAGGCAGTGTCCCAAGGCTCGTTGTTTCCAGCCGCCGAGGGAAATGGCCTGCGCAGCACTGCCTCTCCGATGCGCCATCTCCGTGCAGTCCGAGCCGCAGTTCTCAGGCACACAGCAAGTCGACTTGGCTGTGGGTCAAGAATATGTTCCCAAAATGGGTTGCCCCGGTAAATGGAAACATGGACCAAAACCTGCAGTCCCCTGGCGGTTTAATTTTGACCCATACCCATATCCGAACGCCTGCGGTAGAGGAGCACCAGCTTCTTCTGGTCCAAGAAGCACCTCAAAGACTGGGCATTGCTTGCGACTGCACATGTACCTTCCCGTCGAAAGCGGCTGCTTCTGGTGGTAAAAGCGCAAGGCCGAAAGAAAATCTGAGGGATGGGCTCAAGCACCAAGCTGATGATGGCAATCAGCGGGATCTGACAAAAACCACACAAGTATACGCCGACAGGGAGAGCGCCCGCATGGACTAAGAACAAGCATGCCGTCGCGGACCCAGGGGCAAGCGACAACGAAAAGGACTGTGTAGCCGTAGAGGATCAACACCTTGAGATCCGTCCGCTATGCTTGCAGCAGTTTGCACTGAGCAGGTGGAAGGCCTCATCCATGTCTTGGTACACGTCATAGTCCTCACAAGACTGCAATGTTTCGAACAACATAGAAACATTGTCAGGATCTGATTGTTGACATATTTGAGGAGCTTGTCTCTTTCTGGCAGCTTACCCTGGCCAGGATTGAACAGTAGTTGTCCCAGGGTCCCAAAAATACGTTCCTACAGGATGCGGATCAGGCTTTCACGAGACCGTGTTTGTTTGCTTTCTTACTCTTTGCAGCCGGGTTTGGACCAAGAGAAAACAACATCGATCCTGTCGTCACTAACTATGAACTGCTGAACCTGCGCACGTTTGGCGCTAGTCAAAGCATGCCTTAAGGCTTTGACGCTGCACTTCCGCTTCCGGGAAACAAAAAATGACCTCCGCTTCCCTGGTGACCTCCCTGGGCTTCTCTCCACACGCCTCTTTCTTGCTCTGCTTCTCAGGGCTGGAAAGGTCCGGCCTGGCGGGTGGGCCACGAAAAAAGGCGGGGTGGGAAAGGCGCCACTGCCACGTCTTCCGACAGCGGGAGAGAAAAAATTAGAAATCGGGTGGGACTCGCTTGCTTTTTGCAGTTGCACACTTGGCCAAAACTCAGTCACGGACATGATGGTCATCGGGTTCCTGGCTGGCCAGAAAGGGCTTTCTGGCATGGCATCAGCTGAACTGGAACAATTCCACGCCTGCAGAATGCGACAAGCAATCAAATGCCGGGCAGGCGTGAATAGCGAAGAGTCGAGGAATGCAACATCTGCAAGTGGGCAACGGCACTTCAACATAGAACAAGCTTCACAAGAATGACTGGTCTCATTCTGCGGCCGCAATCGGACTATGGCTTCTTGCAATGCTTCGAGCATGCGTGAACTCTGTGCCCTTGCTAAATCTGCTTGGATGCAGCAAGAACTCGCAATGCCTTCGGTCCAGCGCCGGTACATCATCATGACGTACCTAAGCGGTTTGGGCTCAGCCCATCGCCAAGGCACTGCCTTCCTGAGTCGGAGGCGGTCCGCCAAGCTCAATCATGTTCTGCACGGTCAGCCTGGGCACCAGAGGCCCGTGTCAGCCAACAGGTAAAGTGCGATTTGGAAACAGATGCCAGACATGGGTCCTGAGGCAATCCCAAATGTTGCTCATTTTTTCCGCAGGAAAAATTCCGGTGTGCCTCATGATCATGAAGATCGCCAGCTGAGAGCCCAAGTCATTGAGACCTGCAAGCGGGAAAGTGCTGCCGGAATGTGCTGGATTTCCAAATATGTTCATGGTCAAGTCTGTCAAGTGTGATCTCAGCTTCGCACAGTCATCGTTGACGCAATTCATGGGCATACCAAACAAGTAGGAGTGCTCCTGGGACAGATGTGTTTGTGATCCCAACCACCTCTATGTCATGCTTAGTTCTGGGGGGTGGTCGTAGCCCATTTGCACCTAATTCAGTATGTTACAGTAAAATATGTCCGCCAGCCCTTTACTGTAGTCTCTACCTAAAAGCAGTCATACTCATATAGTGGTGTGTGCAAATACGTTACATATATGTGGGTAGGTGTGTAGGTAGGTGTGTATGTAGGATGTAGGTACATAGGTACGTAGGTACGTAGGTACGTAGGTACGTACGTATGTATGTAGGTATGTAGGTATGTAGGTAGGTACCAATAAAGGTTTATACGATGTCACTTCATGTGTTGACTTTGGCCTAGTGGCTTTGGGTAATTTCAAGTGTTGTTCCATGCGCAGGTTTTGGCAGATTGAAGCTCTGTAACTTGAGCAAGGACAAACTAAAACCTGCACCGGGACTAATTGTGAAAGTGTCGCATGCCTGAAGCTCCAAAATCTGGAGCCAAAAAAGCAAGACTGTACACTCTAGACCAGGATCCTTGGATTCCGCCAGAGGTTGTGCGTTGCGTTTTATCGCCCTTGCTTGGGTTTTGGAGCTTTCAGCCTTGTCCCGAGCCTGGTGGCACAAGCCCCAACTTGTCTTCTTGCCGAGTAAATTTGGTTGGTGTCCTATTCATCGAATTTGAATTGCCGTTGTTGCACCGGCTTCTGCTATCTTTGCTTTACCTCAATTGCACAGGGACACGACGATTGGACCAATAAAAGGGTCCCAGGCCAGAAATGCTCGGGGGTTGTGTGTTTGTGTTTGCGTGTCGTGTTTGCGTATTGGCGTGTGTGTGTGTGTGTGTGTGTGTGTGTGTGTGTGTGTGTGTGTGTGTGTGTGTGTGTGTGTGTGTGTGTGTGTGTGTGTGTGTGTGTGTGTGTGTGTGTGTGTGTGTGTGTGTGTGTGTGTGTGTGTGTGTGTGTGTGTGTGTGTGTGTGTGTGTGTGTGTGTGTGTGTGTGTGTGTGTGTGTGTGTGTGTGTGTGTGTGTGTGTGTGTGTGTGTGTGTGTGTGTGTGTGTGTGTGTGTGTGTGTGTGTGTGTGTGTGTGTGTGTGTGTGTGTGTGTGTGTGTGTGTGTGTGTGTGTGTGTGTGTGTGTGTGTGTGTGTGTGTGTGTGTGTGTGTGTGTGTGTGTGTGTGTGTGTGTGTGTGTGTGTGTGTGTGTGTGTGTGTGTGTGTGTGTGTGTGTGTGTGTGTGTGTGTGTGTGTGTGTGTGTGTGTGTGTGTGTGTGTGTGTGTGTGTGTGTGTGTGTGTGTGTGTGTGTGTGTGTGTGTGTGTGTGTGTGTGTGTGTGTGTGTGTGTGTGTGTGTGTGTGTGTGTGTGTGTGTGTGTGTGTGTGTTTTGTTTCTGTGTGTGTGTGTGTGTGTGTGTTTGTATGTTTGTGCGTGTGCTTGTGTGTTTGTGTGCTTGTGCGCTTGTGTGTTTGTGTTTGTGTGCTTGCGTGTTTGTGTGATTGTGTGTACGTTTGTGCGGTTGTGTGTGTGTGTGTGTTTCGGTGTTTGTGTGCTTGTGTTTGTGTGCTTGTGTTTGTGTGCTTGTGGCTGTGCTTGTGTTTGTGTGCATGTTTGCTTGTTTGTGTGTTTGTGTGCTGGTGTGTTGTGCGTTTGCGTTTGCATGTTTGCCTGTTTCTGACTTTTCGTGTTTGTGTGTTTGCTCCATGTGTGTGTGGTGTTTGCGTGTTTGCTTGTTCGTTCATTTGTTTGCTTTCAGCTTGGGGCCGTTTGCTGTCAGGCCGACTGTTCCAAAACAGGCAAACAAATGCACTTGTTTGGAAGTCCAAAGGTTGGTTCATGATCATCTCACACATCAGCGCTGCACGCGTCCGAAGCCTGAGCGCGCAAACGAGTTTTGATGAGTTCACAACAGCAGAAAGTCAAGTCTAAAAGTGCAAATTCGCACATGTTAATTGAAAAAATACCGTCAAGGAAGGTTAACGCGAGAACTTCTGTAGCACTGGAAGTACTTGAGTATGCTTTCTTTGCGAATAGATACAAAAGCGGAGAAGAAACTGGAACTCGCGAGAGCTGGGGGAACAGAAGTGAGCAGAATACGTGGCCCTGCAAATAATCTGGGCGCTTCCGCATGTGCGCAAACCAGCTCAGTTGCGCTGCCTGACGGAAGCGGGGCAATTAGACCTTTGGCTACGGTCTGCGGAGTCATCTTTGCTTTCAATCACGATCACAAAATTAAGGCAAACAGTTGCTGCTTGTCAGCCAAAAAAACGGTGGGACCTCCCCCCTGTGGTTGGGGGGTGGCTTGTTTAGTATGGGTCTGGTATTGAACTTGTATGGCTTACGGTTGATTTAGGGTTCGTTCACGTTGATTTGGGGCTGGCTTGTCCTGCAGGGGCCGCGGGTGGGCGGGGAATGGGCGTGCGGGCTGTGGACAGGGATGATATGTATGTGGCTGGCTCAAAAAAAATGTACCAAAATGGCACCTTGGCAAATGGACACAGGGACTAAAGCCTTCGCAACCATAGCTCATATATTCCCCCCCCTTTGCTTGGAGTCAATGCGCAAGGATCCAAATTCCAGATTTGTCCATGAGCAAACTTCCCGATGGGCCCATGGCACTGACCGGGCCTAAAAGCTACAGAAATGGTTGGCCAAGCCAGTCCTGCGGTTTCTGCGATAGTCCAACCTTCGGAACCTCTCAGACGCATTATTATTTTGGTTGCTTTACAATTTGCCAACGGAGTTGAATCTACAGGCTGTCCAATTCTCCACAATTGTGGGCAGAAAGGTCTCCAACAATGCCCAAATGTACTGTAAATACATGGCTCAGTGGGGAGGGGGACCCATACACAATGTATTCACTTGCCCCTGACACTCTTGTAGGGGAATCACAACTGATAGGCTCGGGGATTGCATTGCTTTGCGTTAAGATACTGGGAGTTTTAATCTAGCAGCCGGAAATCCGATCCCCCACGCAGGCCAAGATCAAGTTTGCCAATTCGTCCGCTACGCCCGAAGAGATGTTCAACAAAGCCACAGGGAAGACTTCTGCGCCCAAGTCCCAAAAGGAGAAACCTTTGTCCTCGTGTTGTATGTATGCTATGGTTTATCATGTATATGATGAGTCTGTACCCAATCAAGAACATTGGGCGAAAAAGGCAGCAACTCCACAACAAAGCATCTCCTTCAAGAAGGCAATGTAGTAGAGGGACACGTAGCAGTTGATGAACTTGAAAACCACCATCTTGGCCTGGCGATTTGTTTGTTTGCTGAACATGGTAGTGCAGTTGAGTACGCAATTCTCTGGGTGGCTGACCAAAAGATGATTTGCATGCTCACTGTACGATCGATGGTTCTCTCGCTCCTGCACACGCAGTCACTCACTGCAACAGTCATCTTCTGGCTGGAAACAGCTTTCGGCGAACATTCACAGCTTCCAATGAAATGCATCCTTGCTCCCAAGTCTTTCCTCAAATCTTGGAAAGGTTGTCAACAACAATGAGTTTGGGGCCTACTGTATCGGTGTCAATCTGCAACTCCGGCCAGAAGTAAATGTGTCCAACACACGATGCGCATCCAAGTGCCCAGGACATTGCAAATGGCAGAACACACTCATTGCCAAAGGCATGAAGCTATTCTCTAAAGCAAAGGCGCTCCGTCAACCATGTTGCAAGGCTGGTGAAGAGAGTGTTCAAGAGCTCGACAACCAAGGCATTGATGACCTGTGTTCATCATAATGTGGCAATCAACACAAGAAGAAATTCCCAGCCTGGAACGTAATGCGACCTCCGTGCTTGTGGAATGCATGGCGAAGGACCATGAGGACGCCAACCATGAAAAGCAGGGCGATCAGTGAAACCTCAGGTGAGGCAGCTGGAACTTGCAGCTGAGCTTAGACTAAACCAAGCCAAGCAGCAAGGATGACAGAATAGCTGAACATAACCGTCCAAATGCGCTCACTCCAGGGATAGTACCTCACATTTTCATGGCTCAGGATATCCAAGTGCCTAAGTGCCTATCCACTCGGCTTGCTTGGCACCGGGCCTATCCACACGGCTTGTCACTGGATTGATCCGGCTGACCTTACGCCATCTTCTGAATCGATCGCGATCGCTTCTCGTCGTTTCCCTCGTGGCCGGGAGGCGCACGCCATAGAACTCCGGGCGGGTGGGCTCTGGCCTCTTCTTCATTGAGAAGGTGCCCCACCTGCCAAACCAACTGATGTAAACCTATGCGCGGGAAAAGCGAGAGTGAGAGAGAGAGAGAACAAGAGAGAGCACTGGCAAGTGCCAAGGTCCAGGCTTCAGAGCATATAGATTTGATTTCCTGCGCCAGAAGTGGACGAAGCTCGTCGTGAAGAGCCCCACACCTGGCAAAACAAAGCGGAAAACGGGAGCTCCAGAGGCGAAAACTTAAAGCCCTGCAAATCGCGCCTACGCAAATGAACACAGCCGTGAAGTTGTTGGAGGTGCCGTAGAACAAGTCCACGACCTTACGGCGAGCTGCCAAGCATGCGGAGCTCTGTGCTGGCTTAGCTACAGTGTGTGCGTCAAACAGTTGTTGTCAGTGAAATAGTCAGTCATGGCATAGTTCTTTCCCACCTCTTTCCACCTCTGAATCATCTGAACCATCCGAAAAAATCAGTCTGATAATTTCTAGAAGTTGTTGAGTGCCAAAATGAGGAAGAAGGGCAGGTCGTTGGCGCACATTCCGATACATGCATGGCTGTTGTTGTAACACCCTCCTGAAATTCAAATTCCAAGTCGGTATGGATCAAACCGCTGGTGTTGGTTCTTGTTTCCATCCATCTACAAATTGCTTTAGGATGTGGAACAAGAATGAGAGAGATGAATCGGAAAGAGATGACCATTCACTCTCACCTGTCCCTTCCTCCATTCCTAATCTCAAGATGGAATGGATAGAAGGAGACAGGGATCGGATAGGGAGATGAGTGGGAAGGCTTAGACAAATGATGCCTTCCATCTCCCATTATCCCTTCTCATCTCTTTACCTTGCCTCGTCCGGAAGCGGCGAGATGCAAAGAAGAGATGTAGCGGGAGGTCTTGTATAGAGGATTTGGTGGTGGACGGAGGCAACCCCAAAGACACTCACCTCTCCCTCCCTTTCCTGTCTTCTCCTCAAAGGGGGAGGCGTACGGGAAGGGCGGTTACAAGTCCAAGGCTGGCTGGTAAATGAGCATAACCGAAGATTCAACATCATCATCATCATCATCATCATCATCATCCTCATCATCATCATCATCATCGGCGTGGTGGTCCTTATCTTGATTATCATGATGATTGCTGGTGATGCTGAGGATGCGTCATGATGATTATCATGTCAGTTCATCATCATCATCATCATCATCATCATCATCATCACGGTGCTCATCATCATCAGCTTCTTCGTCATCGTCCCGATTCGAGATGCAGAAGATGCGCGTCATGATGACTGCTGGTGATGCTGAGGATGCGTCATGATGATTATCATGTCAGTTCATCATCATAGCATCATCATCACGGTGCTCATCCTCATCATCTTCTTCGTCATCGTCCTTATCTTTTTTATATACGTTTGAAGTGTTGTGTTAGACCTGATTGGAGATGCAGAAGATGCGTGGACATGATTATCATGATGACTGCTGGTGTTGCTGAGCATGCGTCATCATGATTATCATGTCAATTCATCATCATCATCATCATCAGCATCATCACGGTGCTTATCATCATCATCTTCTTCATCATCGTCCTTATCTTTTTTTATATACGTTTCAAGTGTCCCGTTAGACCCGATTTGAGATGCAGAAGATGCGTGGACATGATTATCATGATGACTGCTGGTGATGCTGAGGATGCGTCATCATGATTATCATGTCAGTTCATCATCATCATCATCATCAGCATCATCACGGTGCTTATCATCATCATCTTCATCATCTTCTTCGTCATCGTCCTTAAATCTTTTTTAAAGCCCCTTTAGACCCGATTTGAGATGCAGAAGATGCGCGGACATGATTATCATGCTGGTGATGCTGAGGATGCGTCATGATGATTATCATGTCAGTTGGTGTTCATCATCATCATACGTTTCAAGTGTCCCGCTAGACCCGACATGATGATTATCATGTCAGTTCATCATCATCATCATCATCATCATCCCGGTGCTCATCATCATCAGCTTCTTCGTCATCGTCCTCATCTTATTTTTTATAATCATCATGACGCATCCTCAGCATCACCAGCAGTCATCATGATAATCATGTCCACGCATCTGCTGCATGTCAAATCGGGTCTAACGGGACACTTGAATCGTATATAAAAAGAGACAACGACGATGACGAAGAAGATGATGATGACTGACATGATAATCATCATGACGCATCCTCAGCATCACCAGCAGTCATCATGATAATCATGTCCGCCTCAAATCGGGTCTAAAGGGACACTTGAAACGTATATAAAAAATAAGACAAGGACGATGACGAAGAAGATGATGATGCTAAGCACCGTGATGATGCTGATGATGATGATGAACTCACATGATAATCATCATGACGCATCCTCAGCATCACCAGCAGTCATCATGATAATCATGTCCGCGCATCTTCTGCATCTCAAATCGGGTCTAACGGGACACTTGAAACGTACATAAAAAAAGGTAAGGACGACGAAGAAGATGGTGATGATAAGCACCGTGATGATGCTGATGATGATGAAGAACGCACATGATAATAATCATGACGCATCCTCAGCATCACCAGCAGTCATCATGATAATCATGTCCACGCATCTTCTGCATCTCAAATCGGGTCTAACGGGACATGATGAATGACGCATCCTCAGCATCACCAGCAGTCATCATGATAATCATGTCCGCGCATCTTCTGCATCTCAAATTGGGTGTAACGGGACACTTGTTATCATGTCAATTCATTCATCATCAGCATAAGTGTCCCGTTAGACCAAATTTGAAGATGCAGAAGATGGACATGATTATCATGATGACTGCTGGTGATGCTGAGGATGCGTCATGGTCATTATCATGTCAGTTCATCATCATCATAATCAGCATCATCATCACGGTGCTCATCATCATCATCTTCTTCGTCATCGTCCTTCTCTTTTTATATATACGTTTCAAGTGTCCCGTTAGACCCGATTTGAGACAACGATCATCAGGCCCGTGCCATTATCATCATGGTCGTCGTCATCTCTTATCAGGCAGCATTAATGATACAGAGGATGCTGCGATGATCGTTATCATGACAGCCGTTGGTGATGCTCAGGATGCTACGATGATAGTTGTCATCCTCGTCATCATCTTTCTCGTCATCTGTCACCTATACTATATATAGAAATCAAAAGGGACGGATGCGATGATGATAGTTATTAAGGAACAAGTAGTGATGCAGAGGATGTTGTGATGATCGTTGTCATGACGCGGATGATAACGATCAGTACGCCCCCATTATCATCATGGACGTCGTCATCTCTTATCAGGCAGCATTGGTGATGCAGAGGATGCTGCGATGATAGTTGTCATCGCAGCCGTTAGTGATGCTAAGGATGGGCATTGCCAAGGATGTCTAACGTCCCTTTTGATTTCGATATATAGTAAGATATGAGAAGACATAAGATGATGCTAGGTGATGATCAGATGATGAGAAAGATGACGACGAGGATGATAACTATCGACTATCATCGTAGCATTCTTAGCATCACTAACGGCTGTGATGATAACGATCATCGCCGCATCCTCTGCATCACCAATGCTGCCTGATAAGAGATGACGACGACCATGATGAGAATGAGGCGTGATGATCGTTATCATCCGCATCATGACAACTATCATCACAGCATCCTCTGCATCACTACTTGTTCCTTGATAACCATCATCATCGCATCCTTTGCGTTGCCAAGGATGTCTAACGTCCCTTTTGATTTCTATATAGGATAAGATATTAGATGACGCCAGGTGATGATCAGATGATGATAAAGAGGATGACAACTATCATCGTAGTGCGATGATGATAGTTATCAAGGAACAAGTAGTGATGCAGAGGATGCTGTGATGATAGTTGTCATGACGCAGTTAATAACGATCATCACGCCTCGTTCTCATCATCGTCGTCATCTCTTATCAGGCAGCATTGGTGATGCAGAGGATGCGGCGATGATCGTTATCATCACAGCCGTTAGTGATGCTAAGGATGCTACGATGACAGTTATCATCCTTGTCATCATCTTTATCATCATCTAATCATCACCTAGCATCATCTCGTGTCTTATCATATCTTACTATATATAGAAATCAAAATGGACGTTAGACATCCTTGGCAATGCCAAAGATGCGATGATGATAGTTATCAAGGAACAAGTAGTGATGCAGAGGATGCTGTGATGATAGTTGTCACGACGCGGATGATAACGATCATCACGCCTCATTCTCGGTCGTCGTCATCTCTTATCAGGCAGCATTGGTGATGCAGAGGATGCGGCGATGATCGTTATCATCACAGCCGTTAGTGATGCTAAGGATGCTACGATGATAGTCGATAGTTATCATCCTCGTCGTCATCTTTCTCATCATCTGATCATCACCTAGCATCACCTCATGTCTTCTCATATCTTACTATATATAGAAATCAAAAGGGACGTTAGACATCCTTGGCAATGCCAAAGATGCGACGATGATAGTTATCAAGGAACAAGTAGTGATGCAGAGGATGTTGTGATGATAGTTGTCATGACGCGGATGATAACGATCATCACGCCCCCATTCTCATCATGGTCGTCGTCATCTCTTATCAGGCAGCATTGGTGATGCAGAGGATGCTGCGATGATCGTTATCATCACAGCCGTTGGTGATGCTAAGGATGCTACGATGATAGTCATCATCTTTCGTTAGTGTTTGGAGGACTGTGATGATAACTATCATCGTAGCATCCTCTGCATTGCCAATGGTGTCTAACGTTACTTTTGAAATGCATATAAGAACAAGAAAGAGATGATAATGATCATCATGATGATGACGTGTCTATTGGTAATGCACAGAATGCTGCGGCTGATGCTCCCTAGCCTATCTTGCTTGCGTACTGACGCCAGGCGCGACTGCGGCTCATGGGGGAGTGGAGAGCGGGGCTGAGAGCTGCTTTTTCTTGACAAAATAGAAGGGCATCGTGTGGCAAGAAAACGTGTCTGGCATCACCAGCATCGCCCGGGCGTGTCTATTGGAAATGCAGAGGATGCTGCGGCTCCTGGGGGGGTGGAGAGCGGGGCTGAGAGCTGCTTTTTCTTGACGAGATAGAAGGGCATCGTGTGGCAAGAAAACGTGTCTGGCATCACCAGCATCGCCCGGGCGTGTCTACTGGTAATGCACAGGATGCTGCGGCTGATGGGGGGGTAGAGAGCGGGGCTGAGAGCTGCTTTTTCTTGACGAGATAGAAGGGCATCGTGTGGCAAGAAAACGTGTCTGGCATCACCAGCATCGCCCAGGCCACATTTGAAATGTATAGAAGAAAGAGATGATCATGACAATCATGATGACGATGATGAAGGCGATGACTATGATGACAATCATGATGAAGATGATAAGGATGATGACTCTTATGATAACTATCATCGTAGCATCCTCTGCATTACCAAAGCTGCGGATGACTGTCATGATCACTATCATCGTAGCATCCTCTGCATTACCAAGGGTGCCTAGCGATGATCATGACTACGCATCACTATCGAAACGGCACCTCGCCTCAGATGCCATTTGTGTCATTGAGATTTGGAGTCCTGCCTTGATGATAATCATCACTACGCATCATTCGCAGCATCTGTGGCAATCATGAGGATAATCATCACTACGCATCCCCAGCATCTCCAGCAGCGATGATCATAATCATGACTACGCATCACTGTCGAAACGGACCTCGCCTCAGATGCCATTTGGGTCATTGAGATTTGGAGTCCTGCCTTGATGATAATCATCACTACGCATCATTCGCAAGAAACCAAAGAAACCAAAACCAAGGGCACTGTTTTTGGTTGCTCGAAAACCACAAGTAAATCCAGGGGTCGGCGGCACTGGGCGGCAGCCCTTAAATAAGATGGATAAAGAAAGATAAGGAATGGATCATCTCGCTGTTAAGCACGGTCAATCCTCATCCTTTCACCATCATTTCTCTCGTCAATATCCTCGTTCATAATGCTTCTCTTTTCAACATCTCACCATCGAAGCCGTCTATATCTCAGGGACTTGTCTAGAGACGGGAGGAACTGTAAGACAAGGAACAGAGAGAAAAGATGTCACCAATATAATTCCAGTCACTTGTCTCATGCTTGTCCACATGCTGGACTTGTATATATATATATATATATATATGTTCCTTTTCTATTTTCATTATCTTATTTATTCCTCTCCTCATATCTCTGTCTACTGCATTGCCTCTCCGCTAAGACTCTAAATTAAGTGAAATGATGGCCAACTGATAAGACCCTTCCACTTCCCTCTTTCCTGGTCAGTGGTTACCTCGTTCATGGACATCAACTTTGTAGCTCTTGTAACTCAGGGAACCTCCAGGGTTCCATTTTGGATACCCTTTTTTGACCTGCACCCAAGTGGTTTTGCAGTGAATGGGATGGCTCATGCACAACGGCCAAACTTTGGGTGGCTTTTCTCCGACTCCTGTGCCTCTCAGGCTCTTGGACTGATCTTTCTTAGTCTCTTCTGGCCGAATCAGCCTGTTTGCTTTGCCTCAACCGACCCTTTGGATCAAAAAGCTGCCTTGCATCCATCTCATGCGGCATTCAGACGCATTCTTCAAGGCCGCTGCGCACAAGAAGGTCCCAAGCAGAGTTGGGATGATCATCCACTTGATGAAGTGAGACCTGGAAAAGATCGAGCGGCTGAGAGAGAGCCCTGACCTTGATCTGATCCAATGTATCCAATCTCTGCACACTTGGACTTTCTCTGGGCTCCATGCATGAAGAGGAAGTACAAAGCAATTCGCTCTCCGAAGTAGTTTCTGACCTGCACAGCGCGCATCTATTGCCAGGCGTTGGTTTCAGCCTAAGGTTGATGCGTGGCATGGAACAACTTCTGTGTATGAGCTGAGGAAAGTGCTATGCCAAACCAACTCCCCAAATACAGCGCTTGAATCAGGAGGCATCCCGAGCATGTCACAAGGCCCGCCTTGTCAATGTTGCGGCCCGTAACAAAGGTTTTGAACCAATCTCTGTCCATGTCCTCGAGCTGTCCTGGCCACTCCTTTCAAAAGCACCAGGCCACCGATCCGTCCCTTGAATGTTTCTGTGACACATCCAAATGGTAGGCGCTGAATCAGGGGCCCTGGAAAACACTGCTATCTGGCTATGGGTC